ACCGGCCTCCGGGCGGGAGCGCCGGCGGCCTGCTTCCCCCGGCATCTACGCACACAAGAGAAGGCGTCAGCATTCACGGGGCAACGGGCTAAGAAACCGAACAGGACTTCACGCAACAGTGCTTTAACAGGCCAAAACCTAAGATAAGACAAACGTCCAACTGGGTCGGTCCTGCCACGGGACACTCGGGTGTTCAGGGTTTGTCACCTAAAAACACTTATTAGCCATTTTGATATGTGCTCGGGAACTGCTCCAAAGTAGCTAGATAGAACCCAGTACAGCTTACGAGGGCCTACTTGCGCGAGCCCAAACACAACTGATACAGCCCTCACAGAGAAGTAATAATGGGGTGAGGGGAGAGAAGAAATGGGGAAGAACAACTATTTAATACTGTCAGCCTGAAGGCAAAGGAGTCTTCTCTCTCAAATGATATCCAACTACTCCAGCTCAGCAAAAGGCTCTTTCAACCCTTTCCAGTCTCTGCTGTCTGAGGATATACTTGGGCACGTCTGGAAGAAGGCAGCCTTGCAGTTGAAGCAGCACTGCTCTGCTCTGTCAGGAACTTTAGTATTAATGCCAATTCCCAAAATAGACTGTGACACAATAGAAAATACCAACTCTTGAGAGACTGTTTTGTCCACATGTGCCGAAACATTTTTTAGTCTTATAGACTAAATACATGAGATTCATAACCCTCTACAATCCCCATTGCCCAGTCCTTCTTCGACAAGTGTGAAATGATACATCCTTAGCCTTCAAGTTTGCTGGTCCCAGCATCTCCTTTGTTTCAAGGGGCACAAAGCTTTGGGCAGCTGCTTCGAAAGCTAGAAGGCCACACTGTATGCCCCTGACTGCAGCATGCATACCAGTGAGCTGGGATGCCTCACCCGCTGCCTAGGTGGCAAATCATGCTGTCTTGGTGCTGAGGCAGATGTCCTTTCCATTTGGAAAGTAGATTCTTTTTCCTGGTGCACAAGGCAGAGTGAATCGGGAATCCTCTTACGGCTCCCCTTTGGTCCTGCGCACCCACAGCGAAGGCAGGACCTAGTCTGTACTACCGCGTTTTGCAGGTGGCACTTCAACATTGCTGAGATCTTTAGTTTTCACTAATAATTAGGAAGATGGGTAGAAGGAGACTCACTTTTCCTGTATAAAGCCTAGCATTAAGAAAATAAACAAGATTTAAGATGAAAGTTGCATTTCCTAAGAGGAAATTGCTCCCTGTTTCTGGGCACCTGAGGGAGACCTTAACTCGATTGTACGCTCACGTGCAAGAGCAAAGCTAAGTTTAATGTCTTATTTAAACAGGAGTTCTTTGCGCTGTTTAAAGGTGCTTGGAGATATTCTTAATCCAAGCAGGTAATTTATTGGTGGTGTATGAAGGCTCTAAATAATCTGTCATTTCCTTTTTTGTACTGAACCTGTAAGGTCCTTCTTACCATCATCTCGACTGGCAGCAGATCTGAGCTTTGGCATTCCT